GGCCGCGCCCGAGATCCCGCGGAGACTCGGGGGCCATCGGAGATCAGGTCGCGGCGGCGACCCGCCGTCCGGCGGGCGTCGCCCACGGCGTGGACGTAAGGAACAAGTAGGAGGAGGAGGAGGAGGAGGAGGAGGAGGAGGAGGAGCAGGAGGAGGAGCAGGAGGAGGAGGAGGAGGAGGAGGCCAGGCAGATGAGCGCGTTCCAGTCGATCACCAAGGAAGATGAGCTGAAGGTCCTGACGCCGCTCGGGGACGGGCCCTTCAGGGTGGCGATCTGCTTGGGCGATGCGGGGACGCACCCTGGCGAAGGCGCTGTCGCGGCAGGCTGGGCATCCAGCGGCGCCGCACAAGCACCGCAAGTGGCCCACGTGAGCCACCGAATCGCCCGCGGCCTCGCGACGGGACCATGAACGGAAAGTCGCGGCGCGCGCCGTGGCGCCGCTGGTGTTTTTGGGCGGCAGGCCAGGCCACCTGGCCGGAGGGGCTTCGCGACGACTGCGCCGTCCCGACGGAGCTGAAGATCGAGGCCAGGCCCAGGCGGCGGGATGCCGCGAGGGGCCCAGGAAGGCCCAGGAAGGAATCTGACTGGCGCGCCCTGTCCACGCCGAGGAATGCCAGGAGGAGGAGGAGGAGGAGGAGGAGGAGGAGGAGGAAGCAGGAGGAGGAGGAGGAGGAGGAGGAGGAGGCAGGAGGAGGAGGAGGAGGAGGACGACGAGGAGGAGGAGGAGGAGGAGGAGGAGGAGGCGCCTGATGCCCTGATCGAGTTGCTCGAGGAGGAGCCGCGCAGTTGCGCCGGCCAGCACGTGCAGGACGCGCGACAGGAGCTCGGCTCACTGGCGGCGGAAGTGGCCGAAGCGGACGGCGACGGAGGCCCCACGAGCGCGCGACGAAGACCAGCCCCGGGCGCGGCGACGTCCCGCTCGCCGCCCTGGCTCCGACCGCGAGCGGGGCGGCCCTCTTGGAGCTCCCGGGCGGCTTCGGGCTGGACACGCCCACCGGGCTTACGTCGGGCCTGTCCCTCTACAGGAGGAACATTCAAAGATAGTCAAAAAATAGTCTGGGGACGATGTTTTGAGCATGTTTGAATATGTTTGGAATATGTTTTGACAACTTTTATTTTTTCGCCCAACATCCCCCTGCAGGAGGACTGGCCCGACCTACCACCGGGCGCGCGCAGATCTCCGTCCTGGCGCGAAGGGGGCGGCGCGCCGGGGCGGAGTCCCTCCAGCCCGGCCGGTGGCCGCCAGGAGGAGGAGGAGGAGGAGGAGGAGGAGGAGGCAGGAGGCAGGAGGAGGCAGGAGGAGGAGGAGGAGGAGGAGTGAGAGGATGAGGGAGAGGAGTAGGAGGAGAAAGGGAGGAGGAGGAGAGGAGGAAGAGGAGGAGGAGAGGAGGAGAGGAGGATGAGGAGAAAAGGAGGAGGAGGAGGGAGGAGAGGAAAGGAGGAGGAGGAGGAGAGGAGAGGAGGGAGGAGGAGGGAGAGGTCGCGGGGGGAGGCGCAGCTCTAGCGGCAGCCGAGGGCAGGGTTGCTGGCGGAGCACTCGGAGCGGACAGGGCGGGGGGGAGGAGGATGGACGGAGAGAGGAGGAGGAGGAGGAGGAGGAGGAGGAGGAGGAGGAGGAGGAGGCGCGGCGCCGCTGGGGCGGGGGGGAGATGGCCAGCGCGCGGTGAGGCAGTCGTCGGAGCACGCGCCTCGGAGCCCCGAAGGGAAGCCCAGGCGCCATGGGCTCCACGCGCCGCGCCCTGCCGCGGCAGGGCGAGCGCCGCTGGCCCGAGGTCCCACGCGGGGGGGGGGATCAGTCGGGGGGATAAGCTCCACTGGACGACGAGCGGCAGAGGCGAGGGGGGATAGTGCCCGCCAGCGCGGTGATTTATATACCCGAGGATCGCTGCCAGCGCGGTCCTAGGCGCGCCGAGGCGGGCGGCGAGGTGGAGGAGGAACCCCCGCATGCGCCGAGGGCGCAGGGCTTGCCCGCATGCGCTGAGGGCGCAGGGCTTGGAGGTCGACGCGCCATGCCTGTCACTCCGCTCACTGGCAAGGGGTGGGCGGAGCGGAGGGCCGCCGCAAGCGACACCGTGGCGCTTTCTGGATCATCAGGCGGGCGCACTCTCTGGCGCCCTCTCGGCCAGCGGGAGGGCGCGGGCGTGTTCTGCGGGCGCCATCGGCCGAAAGGAGCGCCATCAGAATCACCGCCTCGCGGTGAAGGTGCGCGTCCCCAGCTTTCGTCAGACCTGAGCGCTCGGGCGTAGGAGAACGTGTGGTTTCACATGGCTGGGGCGGTTTGGAAGTGCCCGTTCTCTCTCTCTCTCTCTCTCTCTTCCATGTCCTCCCCCCCCCCCAGCGCGGCCCATTTGGGCCCAAGTTTCTCCCGGGGCCCGACCTGCTCGGGACGTTCCCAGGCCGCGGCAACCGTTTAGGCGTGGGGGTTGTGGAAGATGCGGGCTTCTCGCGGGAGGCCGCTTGCCCGTCCGGGCGCCATCCTGGGGCCTCCCGGAGGCATGCTGGAGGCAATCGTCAGCCAACTCGGACCGTCTTCAGGGCCATCTTGCAAGAGCTCCATCACAGAAGGGGACCGTCTTGGGGACGTCTTGGAGGAGCTCGATCCAAGAAGGCGGCAGTATTCAAATGGCGACCCCCCAGAAAGCCAACATAGGCCCAACCCTGGCTCAAATTCAGCGACTGTTGCCTTCTACCTGATGTATTATTGGACGCTTAACCTACCCGCGGGGCGCCCCGTCCAGGTCCAGGGGAGGGCCTCGGGGGCGTCAAGGCACCTCCTGCCCACAAGGCAAAGCCGTCTCGCTCACTCCCACCAGCCCTACCAACACATAAGTCGCACCCTGGCATCCCTTTCAATGCCAACGCGAAGTGATCGCGGAGCGCCAGCGTATGCTCCAGGTCTGAAGGCAAAGTGTATATTGCATTGTGATGTGGCGCTCGATGTGGCAGGGCTGGTTGGTTCTAGCACAAGAAGCAACATGAGGACCCCCCGCCGTCCTTTTCAAAAACTAATGCAGAGTGGTCACGGGGCGCTCGCGCATGCTCCGGATATGGAGGCAAAGTATATGTTGTATTGTTTGTTGACGGGGATGGTTGGTTGGCCTTCGCGCAGCAAGCAACATGAGGTCCCCCCGCCGTCCTCCTCAAAAAGTAATGTAGAGTGGTCGCTGGGCGCCCGCGCATGCCCCAGATTTGGAGGCAAAGTGTATCTTGTACTGTTTGTTGACAGGGGTGGTTGGCCTGCACGCAGCATGCAATACGAGGCCCCCCCCCGCCGTCCTTGTCAAACACCAATGCAAGGTGGTCGCGGGGCGCCCACGCATGCTCCAGGTTTGGAGTAAAAGTGTACTTTGCATTGTTTTTGACACGACTGGCTGGCTTGCTGCAGCTGGCAGGAATCAATGCAAAGTGGTCGCGAGGCGCCACCAGCGCATGTCCCAGATTTCGAGGCAAAGTGTACCTTGTACTGTTCATGTTGACAGGGGCGGCGGGAGGGATGTTGGCAGGGTCTCGGGCTGGCTGCCGATCGCGGGGGGGGAGGGGGAGGGGGCACTAATAGGGAACAGTTGTTGTGGGGTGCCCGCGCACGATCCACCAGATTCAGCCGCGAACTACATGCTGCATTGCTCTTGAAAGGGGCAGTGGCCCTGCGCACAGCAGGCCGCATGCTGGCACCCCCGCCGTCCCTGCCACCGAAACGACCGAGTGCACGCGGGCCCCCCGAGCATGGGCCAAGATCTCGCCGCAGAGTGCACTGCGCACTGTCTTCTGGCAGGGGATCGCCAGGGTGCGCCCTCGTTGTCGCGGGCTTGTCGCCGGTCGGATGGCGGAGGGGGTGCACATCAAGAAGGAGCAGTGGTGAACCCTTCCCTGGAGGGGAAGAAAGGAAACGGTAGAGCAATCGCGCTGGACCACATCCGCCCAGAGGGCTGGTGGGATTAGCCACCGCTTCACGGCGTGATTCACGCCCCAGCTCCTGTGGAACGGGGGACAGGGAAGGGGATGTCGGGGAGAGGAGGGGCAGTGGAAGGACCAGGCTGTGGCAAGTGATCTTGGCATCTCTCGGACGTGTGCACCTTTCTCGGCGAGGGCTCATTGAGGAGCATCCTGGATCATCTTGCGAACAGATTGCGCGCACGAAGCCGAAGCATGCACAGGGAGTAGACTTCTGAGCGATGGCGAGCAGAGGTTGGCGACTCCGGGGCGCGGCGCTGGCACAACGAGACCCTCGCCCTCTCGTCCTGGAAGGACCCGCGGGCGTGCACGAACATCTTCCAGGCCGCCCTGTAGGGGAACCTCGACTTCTTCGATGATGACGATGACGATGATGATGCTGCTGCTGCTGATCATGATGATGCTTCTGATGATGATGATGATGATGATGATGATGCTGATGCTGATGCTGATGCTGATGCTGATGCTGATGCTGATGATGATGATGATTATTATTGTGATGATGACGATGACGATGATGATGCTGATGCTGATGCTGTTGCTCATGATGATGATTGTGATGATGCTGATGATGATGATGCTCATGCTGATGATGATGCTGATGCTGATGCTGATGATGATGATGAATATGAATATGATGATGATGATGATGATGATGATGATGATGATGATGATGATGATGATGATGATGATGATGATGATGATGATGATGATGATGATGATGATGATGCAGAATATGATGATGATGCTGATGATGACGATGATGATGGTGATGGTGATGGTGATGATGATGATGATGATGATGATGATGATGATGATGATGATGATGATGATGATGATGATGATGATGATGATGATGATGACGTGCACGAACATCTTCCAGGCTGCCCTGGAGGGGAACCTCTACTTCCTCCAGCTGTACACGGAGGTGGGTGGGTTCCTGGACGCGCTCGACGCCAAGGGCAGAACCGCGCTGCACTACAACTGCGCCGGAGGGTCCGCGCAGGCGGTTGCCTACCTGCTGCAGAGCAAGGCGGGCGTCGACGTGATGGACAGGGCAGGCTCCACTCCGCTGCACTGGGGCTGCCGCTACGGACACGCCCCAGTGGTGACCAGGAGCCCCAAATCGGCCTTGCTAGCGCACGGTCGACCGAGCAAGACGCTGTCACAGGAAGGTCCAGCAGTCGCGAGGCGCGGATGCTTTCTGAGGGCGTCTCGGGACTCGCGGGTTCTGCGACACTTGTCGGACGCATTGTTTGGGCGTCATCCTGCTCATCTTCTCGTGCTCCTCGTCCTGTTGCGCCTCATGCTCCTCCTGCTGATGCTGCTGTTGCTTCTCCTCCTCCTCCTCCTCCTCCTCCTCCTCCTCCTCCACCTCCACCTCCTCCAGGACGCTGGGAGCCACCATCCCCGCACAAGGAGCGGTCCCTGGGGCGATCGATCCTCTTTCCAAGAACCCGCCGGGGAAGCAACCGCGGGCAGCTCGCTCCCTCCCACGGGCTGTCGATGCCGGAGGGCAGCAGTCGCCCGCCCCGATGGGCCGCACCGGTGGGTCCTTCGCTGCGGTCGATCTGGTCCTGCCGATCGGTCCAGTCCGTCGAGTCGCCGTCGATCCCCCGTGGCTCCACCGTGGGCTCCCGTCGCTCTGTCCCTCTCTCCGTCCTCCTCTCCGCGTCCCCCCTGTCGTTCCCCTCTCCCGTCCCAGTTCCCCCCCCCCCCATTCCCCGTTGCTGCTCCTCTCCTTGCCCATCCTTCTCCATGCGCCATGCTCCTCATCCCTCTCAGGATGCAATGCAACTCCCGGGAGGTAGCATCGGCGCTGATGCCCCACCCCTCCCCCTTCATCCCCGCCACCACCAGCAATAAGAGACCCCCAAGGTGAGGATCCTCCTGGAGGCCAGGGCAGATCCCAACAGGCAGAACTCCCTCGGCGACACGCCGATGCACGAGGCCGCAGCGCTTTCGGTCGCGACGACTACTCGGCCTCCACCGCCTCCTGCAACTCGGGCTCGTGCTCCTGATGATGCTCCTGCTCCTGCTCCTGCTCCTGCTGATCCTCCTCCTCCTCCTCCTCCTCCTCCTCCCCCTCCTCCTCTCCTCCTCCTCCTCCTTTTCCTTATCGTTGGTCCTCCTCCCCCATCCTCCCTCCTCCTCCTCCTCCTCCTCCTCCTTCTCCTCCTCCTCCTCCTCCTCCTCCTCCTCCTCCTCCTCCTCCTCCCCCTCCTCCTCCTCCTCGTCCGCCTCCTCCTTCCTCCTCGTCCGCCTCCTCCATCCCTCCTCCCTGTCGCTCCCCAGACGTGTCAGCAGGGCGAGCTTGGCGTTTCGCCTGGGACTCACCATTCATGATCCTGAAGCTTGAAGTTTGCAACAGTTCCACGGATGGCAGGCGGATCGTTTTCAAACTGCGGCTCTCGCCTTCGCGCCGCGGACGTTCTTTTGAAAAGCCTTCAGCAGTTTCAACAATGGGGGGCAGCTCCTTTTCAAAGTGCGGCTCTCGCCGCGACGCCGCGCACATTCGCCTTGCTGGGGTGCGGCTTCTTTTCAAGATGGCGCTCTCGCCTTAGCGCCGCGCACAGGCTCTTCTTTTGTTGTTTTTTGTTTTGTATGAGGAAAGACAAAAACAAAACAACTGCTCAGCGGCTTCAAGGATTCGTATGGTGGAAGTCCCAGGACGTGTGCTCTGGTACGGTTTGGGGCCGCCAGGGCGCAGCAGCCACGCGGAGCCACGAGGGTCGACTGCACCGAGGTCCCAGGGACGGTCCTTTGAAAGGCGCCCGCTGCGCCCGAAACGGCTTCGCCCGCGACGAGTTCGCCCGCGGGCGACACCGGCTCCAAGGGCGCCCTCGAGGGAGCGAAGTTATTCGCGCTTCGCGGTTCGGCTCCGATTCCTCCTCATCCTCCTCGTCTACCCTGGGAGGCGGCGCGAGAGCGCGAAGTTATTCGCACTTCGCGCTTCGCGCAGCGCGAAGCGCGAAGTTGGGAGCCCTTGGTCTCGGGCGAAAATTCTCTCGACCGACACCAGCACCAGGCGAAGTCGGCCCGGGCGAAGGCCAGCAGGCGAAAACGATTGGGCGAGGGGGAGCGAACGGATAGGGCGAGAGGCGATCGGGCGAACGCGATCGGGCAAACGCGATAGAGTGAACCCGACCCGCCGATTGGCAGAGCGGAGGCGATCGGGCGAAAACGACTAGGCGACAACGACTGGGTAAAAACGACCAGGCGACACCGACATGAACCGACCGGCGGAAACCGATGCTGGGCGAAACCGACCGGGCGAAGCCGACCAGGCGAAAGCGACAGGGCGAAACAGATTGGGCGAAACCGACCGGGCGAAATCAACCTGGCGAAACCGACACTGGGTGAAATCGACTGGGCGAAACCGACAGGGCGAAACCGACAGGGCGAAACCGACCGGGCGAAGCCGAGTGGGCAAAAATTATTGGGCGAAAACAGCTTGCCGAAAGCGAGTATGCGAGGCCCATCAGGCGACAACGATGGGGGGAAACAGTTTCGGCGAAGCCGCGCGACAGAATGCGTTCGGGCGATGCCGCGCGGGGACTTTGCTCGGGAGCATCTTCGTCGCGAATCCTGCTAGCTGTGCTACAAAACGGTACAACATGTTTTTAAATTTGTAATAGTTTCAAAAAACATGTTGCATGGGAAAGCGAAAGGTTTGGGATTTTTTTTGGCGAAAATATTGCGGACAAACATCGGATAATTAAAAACATAACACAGCGCCTATAATGTTATTTGCATGTTTTTATGTGTTTCGAATTTCCCCCCCCCCCCAAAAAAAGTCCCATCCTCCTGTTCTCCACTCTCGCTCTCCCAGCTTCTGCCCCTCCCGTGTGCTGTTTTCTCCTGCCGCGCCTGCATGCTTTCGCTTCCCTGCGGTCGCCCCGCTGTTCCTTCTCCTCCTTCTGTTTTGCTCCCGCCTCGCTGTTCCTTCTCATCCTTGTTTTTGTTTTTCTCCCAGCGCTGCCTCTCCATCTCCCGCTCCTGTGTTCTCCTGCTTCTTCCTGCACGCCTGCCCTCCAGTGTTTCTTCTGCCTCGCCCTTCTCATCCTCCTGCGACGTTTCTCGTTATGTCAGGCATCGCCGTGCTGCGATCTCTCCTTCCTCTCGCCACTCTTGTCTCTCTCTCTCTCTCTCTCCTCCTTCTCTCGTTATTCGGAACACAGTGCCCGCAGGGATGTCACATCTCCGGCGCATGTGGCCATCTTGATCGTTGTCTCTTCTGCTCTGCGTCACTGGTTGTTGGTGTGGAAACGGTGGCTCGTCTTCTCTGGTACTTTCCCCAGCTCCTCCTATGTTATCTCCTTCTCTTGTTGTTCCTTCTCCCCATCCGTCTGTATTTTTCACCTCCTGCTTCATCTCTTGGCCGATCTTGCGGGGCGGAAGTGCTGTTCCGAGGGGTCCCGCGATGTGCCCGGGGGGGTGCGGCACGGGGGCGGGCAGAGGGGGGCGGACGGACGAGGAGAACCTGGTGAGGAGGGGCTCCTCCTCCTCCTCCTCCTTCCTCCTCCTCCCCCTCCTCCTCCTCCTCCCTCCCCCTCCTCCTCCTCCTCCGTCCTCCTCCTCCGGTCGAAGGGGTGAGGGACGGACGAGGAGGAGCGCGGAGCAGCACCTGCAGGACTGGCGAGGATGGAGGCACACCAGGGGGAGGACTGGAAGACAGGGCTGGCAGCAGCGACGAGTGCAACATACCAGCGTAGCTCGAGACCAAACGTATCGGCGACAACGCTTGGGTCTCAAAGGACGGGGCGAGACCGACCTGGCGAAACCGAACGGGCGAGACCGACCGGGCGAAGCCGACACGGCGAAACCGACCAGGCGAAACCGACATTGGGGGAAACCGACCGCGCGGAACAGACCGGGCGAAATCAGCCGGGCGGAAAAAAACAGGCGGAAACCGCCCGGCGAAAACCACCGAGCGAAAAATATGAAGCGAGGAGCACCCATCGAAGAGCATCGAGCGAAGAGCAACGTGGGAAAACCACCAGGCGAAACCGACCAGACGAAATCTACGGGGCGAAACCGACCAGGCGAATCCGACCGGGCGAAACCGACATTGGGGGAAACCGTCTTGGTCGAAACCGTCCAGGCGAAACCGATGTTGGGCGAAACCAACAGGGCGAAACCGACCAGGCGAAGCCCGTGCCAGGCGAAGTTTGATGCTTACGTTTTGGCACGAGTGACGATTCTCAGACGTTTGGGCAGGCCAGGGGGACGGGCGTTTCGCTTGAGACTTCCTGACCGCCTATGGCCCTGAAGCAAGGATTAAGTGCGATTCGTTTTCAAATGCGATGATTGCCCACGCGCCGCGCCCATCCGTTTCAAAAGTTCACAAGCGCTTCACGGCTGGAGGGCGCGATAAAGGTTTGCAAGAGTTTCGCAGATGGAGGGCGGCTCTTTTTCAAAATTGTGTTCTTGCCTTAGCGCTGCGCACAGTCTTTTTTAAACAAAACTGCTCAGCGGCTTCAAGGATTCGTATCGGTGGCGTCCCAGGAATGGTGTTCTGGCACGATTCAGGATTACAGGGCGAAGCGGTAACTTTGATTCGCGGTGGAAGTCCTTGGAATGAAGTTTTGGTAAGGTTGAGGATTCTCAGAAGGTTGTCTTCTAATGGGCCATTTCCCGCAATGAAGCCCCAATTTCCTGTAGTGACTTATGAAGAAAGGACTTAGGGAGAGCGATTATTGCAACATCGTCGTATCAGGCGACCACTGGAGGGGCGTCGGGTCCGAGTATGAGTCTGAGACTTCGCTTGGGTGGGTCGATGCGGCGCCAGCGTGTTGCCACCATTCTCCTCTGCTCCCTGGGTTCAGCCCCTCGCAGCTGGTTGATGAAAGCTGATCTTGCGCGTCTGCTTTCTATCCATGCATTTTGGCAGGTGTCGGATGCCCATTGCCATGTGTTCTGCCTGGTCAGCTCGAAGTGGGCTCGCCTGGCCGCGCGAAGCCTGTCCTCCTGGAGCTTGTGGACCATGAATGGGATGCAGTAGTCACTCCACTCCCGCGGACCCTGCCCGGTGTCGTGTCGGAGCATGGCGACGCGATATTGCCAGCCCCTGAATAGTTCAGGCGACTCTTAGTGAATGACGAGTTCCAGAAACCCTGAACCCAAAAATGTTATCATCTCTTGGGGGCGCCTTTCTTACCTCCGCTGCCCCTCCGCCGCCCTTCCGCCGGCGGAGGCGGCCTCGGTCTACTCCCGCCGCCTCCCGCCGCCTGCCGCCGAGGAGGGGCTGGCCACTCCTCCGATCCTCGAGGCCAGGGCCTGGGCACGCTCCAGCTGTGCTCGCACCGCTCGGCCGCCGAGCCAGGCTCGGCTACGCTTCAAGCGGGGCGTGCCGACGAGGTGGGGCCGTGTGCTTCGCGCTGGGTGCGCCCGCAGCGCTCGTCGCTGCGCCCATCACGCCCCTGGAGCCGGGTGCCGTCTGCCCGATTGGGCGACTAGCGCTTCCCCGAGGCTCTTGCGAGCTGGAGTTGCCGTCATTCGGCGATCACAAGCGGTATGGTTACGCTGGGGTGTGGTTTGCAATCGGCACCGCTTGGGCCTGGAGGGCACGACACTGTCCTCGTCTGGCCTCCTCGGGGCGCGGCGGAGAACTCCATCGAGGTCCCCGCCCGCCCCCCAGGGTGCCCCCCCAGGGTGCGAGTTGCAAACCACACCCTTTGCAAACCTCACTCTCCAGAGTCGCCGACTTGCCACTCCCGAGGCCCTTGCGAATTGGAGTTGCCATCGTGTTGGTTGAGCACGGTTGTGCGACGCCGATGTGTATGCACATGAGGACACCAACTTCTTGCACGAGGCGAGCTATGGCGGTGGTGGCTGATTGTCTCTAAGCTCTGTCTGGCATCGGTACACTGGCATCCAGTGCTAACGATCGGCATGCCAAGCAGCAGCTCGAGGTGCTCCTCCAGGCGTTCCTTCTTGTCCAATGCCAAAAACTGCCAAAATTGTAGCTGCACGACGGCGTCTCAAACCCTGCCGGCCCTAGATAGTGGCGTTGGGCCAGGGGGAGAAGCTGGAAAAGACGGTGATATTGCGACGCTGCTGGGGCAAGACGTGCAGGAGCCACCGCGCAGCACATGTCTGCTGGTCCGCTGTCGACTGTGCTCGGCGGCGGAGCTGAGGCATGTTGTGGCGTGGCCCTGTCGATCTGGTGGCTTCCCCTCCTGGTCGGGCAGGGTGCACGTCCGTCTCGCTGAGCTCTGGCCCTGCCAACCTCGTCCTCGTTGAATGTGTCGGGCGTGGAGGTCGTCGCGTCGATCAGGCGGCTTTCCCTCCCTACTAGGCAGGGGGCTCTTCCGTCACTCGCGCGGCCGACGTCGCCGATTCTATGATAGTTGTCGGTGGTAAGTGTGATGCCTCCTCCGCAGTGGCTGTCATGATCTCCTCCTTCGCCGCTTCCGCAACCATCGCGATCTCATGTTGTTTCATTTCCGCCCTTTGAGTTGCTCTCTCCTTGTCTTGTGCTTTGTCGATTCTTGAGCTCACCGATGATGGGCACCTCATTGCAGCTGCGGCCCCCAATGGTCGTGGCGGTGTCGTGAGAGAGGCCAGCGACTGCGCCCTCGATGCTGGATCTGCTCTGCTCTGGGTTGACAATAGCTGTCAATGCCGACGGCATCGTTTCGGGCGAAGGCTTCATCTGCCTCCCTTGGCTGGAGCCTTCTCTGCCTCGCGTCTGCCCAGGGCTGAACGATGCTGGTTGCTCCTCTGCCTTGCGCCCCCTTACTGGCGAGGTCGAGTCCACGGTGAAGACGGTGGCTCCAGGCCTGGCTGAGGTAGGCGGTGCCAGTTCCACTGATCTCCTGCACGAGGACGGCGTCCTCGTCGGCTTCGGCAACAACGGTGGGGGATGGCGTCCTCGTGCCGCCAGTCAGCTGCGTGGCAGAGCTTTCCCCAAGCGGTGTTGCCGCCCCGCGGGATGGCGTAGCTGCCCTTGATGTGGCTGAGAGACGCTCTTGGAGTGTCCTGGCTCTGTCGTTGCAGGCTTGTGACCCCCCCCCGAAACTTGGCTCATCATGGCCTGCATGGGCTGCACCTGTGTTGCCAGCATGTGCGCTGCCATCGCCTCCAGAGGGCGCCCCCGGGGTGCTTGTGATGGGGGTGGCAGGCTGTGAGGGCCCAGCAGCCCGCCTGGCACGCGGTGACGACACCAGTGAGAACTCCCGGCAGCCTGCCGCGTGGCCACGGCTTGGCGTGGGCGCATCTCCGTTGGGGCCCTCCTCGACGGCCGGGTCCTCGTCGGCGGCCGTCGCTGGCGCGGTGAGTGCACTCTCCACTACGTCGGCTTCGGTCTTATGCCCGTCGCTGTCGGCGGCGCGTGTGCCGGGCTGGCTCGGCCTGGCCAGCCGCGCCGCTGCTCGCGGCGCCGGCGCGCAGAAAGGGGGGCGCAGAGGAGGCGCCGAAGGGCCCCATCGCTGCAGAAGCCGCGGGCGCGGTCTCAGTGCCGCGGCTTGCAGCAGGGGGCGGGAGGAGGAGGAGGAGGAGGAGGAGGAGGAGGAGGAGGAGGAGGAGGAGGAGAAAGAGGAGAGGATACGAGGAGGAGGAGAAAGAGGAGGAGGAGGAGGAGGAGGAAGGGAAGGGAAGCGCGGAAGGCCCCCTGCCGCGAGCATCGCGCGGCCAAGCGGCGCGCGCAAGCCCGGCCTCCCGGGCGGCCGATCGCGATCGATCGCACGAGGCGCGAGCAAGCGGATCCGAGGATCGCTGTCGGCCCCGCCCGGCAGAGGCCACTTGCGTGCAGGGAGTGCCCGCAATTGACTTGAGCCAAATGGCTACGGATTTGTCCTCCTCCTCCTCCTCCTCCTCTCCTCCTCCTCCTCCTCTTCCTCCTCCTCCTTCTCCCCCTCCCTCCCCTCCTCCTCCTCCTCCTCCTCCTCCTCATCATCATCACCAGCAGCATCATCAGCAGCATCAGCATCAGCATCAGCATCAGCATCAGCATCATCATCAGCATCATCATCAGCATCATCATCAGTATCATCATAATCAGCATCATCATCAGCATCATCATCAGCACCATCAGCATCAGCATCAGCATCAGCATCAGCATCATCAGCATCAGCATCAGCATCAGCATCAGCATCATCATTATTCCTCACCCTTCCTCCCCTTCCTGCCCGCCTCCGCCACAGAATTGGCCCAGGCCTGTCTGGGGGCGCCTGTCCAGCCGTAGCGACGAGGGCGTCCACGGGAGGCCCCAGAATGCCCCAAACACCTCGAACTTCCCGCCCTTTCTCCTCTTCCTCCTCCTCCTCCTCCTCCTTCTCCTCCTCCTCCTCCTCCTCCTCCTCCTCCTCCTCCTCCTCCTCCTCGGCAGTGACGCTGCCGACGAAGCAGCTAATGCTGGCCTAGCTGCCCACCCTCGGCCGACAGATGAGCAGCAGACAGGTATAGTTCACAAAAGTCGTGTCTCCAAGGCGGGCTGCCTGTTGGCAGCTCGGATTTTACCCTTGTGGCCCCGCCTCGACATCAGCGGGGTCGAGTTGGCGAAGCCCCCTCGGAAAAACGCCACTGTCAACTCAGGCGCTGTTGAGCATGATTGGGAGTGGTGTCGTTCATATGGCGCTGCAATGTTTGTCTTCGTACGCAAACCCGACGCCTCAGGGTGCTTTGGTGTGATTCCTGCTGCGCTGTGGAGCGTAGCGTCTCGCGGCCACCGCCTGCCCTCGTTTCAGTCCAGCGACGATTCCCCCCTCTTTGTTTGTGTCGGCTGCAAAGCTGTTTCCACTCTGCCCCCCCTTGCCCTCCTTGGGGCCAAGTGTGGACGCCCAACGAGAAACAATGCGGAGCGTTGGAAGTACAAGATCTGTAAAGGCAAGCACCCGCGTCTCGCAGGAGTCTGTGTGGAAATCTCCCCCGAAGTGCTGGAGGCTGATACGCAGGATGTTCCTAGTATTTGCGAGGAGGGCAGCAGCGACCCCTCCTCTAATGGCCCGCAACCTGATCATGTCGTTGATCCTGTCGTTGGTCCGTCATGTGTCGTTCCTGCTGCGGGCCAGGATATGCAGCATGTTGTGTCCTCGGAGGGCAATGCAAGTTCTGCAGCTTCCCCTGGGGGGAGGAAGCGCGCGTGTGGGCCTGAAGGCCCTGCGTCCAAGGCATCCCGTGCAGGTCCTGCTCGGGGCGCTTCTCAGCCTGGTGCCCTTGAGGGGAGCGCTGCCAGGCATCACGTTCCTGCAGGTGCTTAGGCGAGCGCTACGCCCGTTTCTAGCACTGCTTCCGCTGCCGCAGCTCCTGGAAGGAGCAAGCGGCCATGCGACTCCGCGGGACATCCCAGCACGCTGGCCCGCGCTTGTCCCTCCTTGTCTGACGAGAGCCACTTGATCCAGGGCCGTCCCTGGCTCGCTGGCAGTAGCTCATCCTACCTCGGCAAGAGGACCCAGCAGCACGTTCCCGTCGTCGTTACGTCGTGCGTTGTGCCCAAGAAGGGCGCTCTCCCTCCGTTTCGGCCACCCCTCCCCCAAGGCGAGGGAGGGGAGGCACCGCGAGGCTGGCAGAGAGGAGGAGGAGGCTCCTCGCGCGAAACCTTCCCGCGTGAGCGCCGAGCTGGCCGACCGCTCGGCGTAGGTTTTTGTTTCGGGGTCCTAGGGTCGTTGCCAACGTCAGCCACCGCCAAGGCAACCGTTTTCAGCCCTGGCTTGCACTGCTGGTTTGGGAAAGGTGCATGTGAAAATCCTCCTCCTCCTCCTACTCCTCCTTCTCCTTCTCCTCCTCCTCCACCTCCTCCTCCTCATCCCTCCACCTCCTCTTCCTCCTCCTCCTCCTCCTCCTCCTACTCCTCCTCCTCCTCCTCCTCCTCCTCCTCCTCCTCCTCCTCCT